CAAGTCTTACTCTGTCACCCAGGCTGGAGTGCAGTGGCGGGATCTTGGCTCACTGCAACCTCCGCCTCCCGGGTTCAAGTGATTCTCATTCCTCAGCCTCCTGCGTAGCTAGCATTACAGGCACGTGCCACCACACCAGGCTAATTTTTTTTTGTTGTTTTTTTGTATCTTTAGTAGAGACGGGATTTCACCATGTTGGCCAGGCTGGTCTCAAACTCCTGACCTCAGGTGATCCACCCACCTGGGCCTTTCAAAGTGCTGGGATTACAGACGTGAGCCACCATGCCAGGCGGCTTTTGTTAATGAAAGGTATGTCCCTTCTATACCGCTTTTGCTGATGATTTTAATCTAAAGAGATGCTGAGATGCTGGATTTTGTCAAATGCATTTTCTGTGTCTATTGAAACGATCATGTGATTTTTGTTTTCAATTTTATTTATGTGGTGTGTCACATTTATTGACTTGCATATGTTAAACGATCCCTGCGTCTCTGGCATGAAACCCACTTGATAATGGTGAATTATCTTTTTATTTATTTGATATGCTGTTTGATTTGGTTAGTTATATTTTGTTGAGAATTTTTGGATCTATGTTTGTCAGGGATACTGGTCTGTAGTTTCTTTTTTTCTTACATTCTTTCCTAGTTTTGGTGTTAGGGTAACCCTGGCTTCTTGGAATGATTTAGGGAGTAGTCCCTCTTTCTCTCTCTTTTGGTATAGTGTCAGTAGGATTGGTATCATTTCCTCTTTGAATGTCTGATAGAATTCAATCTTGCTGCTTGTTATTGGTCTGTTAGGGTATCTAATTCTTCCTGATTAAAGCTAGGAGGGCTGTATCTTTCCAGGAACGTATCCCTTGCCTCCGAGTTTTCTAGTTGATGCACACAGAGGCATTCATAGTAGCCTTGCAGGATTTTTCTGTTTCCATAGTGTCACTTGTAACATCCCCCATTTTGTTTCCAATTGAGCGTATGTGGATCTTCTCCCTTTTCTTGGTTAGTCTCACTAATGGTCTGTCTGTTTTGTTTATCTTTTCAAAGAACAAGTGTTTTGTTTCATTCATGTTTTGTGGTGTTTTTCGTTTGTTTCAGCTTCATTTAGTTCGGCTCCGATCTTTGTTATTTCTTTTCTTTTGCTGGGCTTGGGTTTGGTTTGTTCTCGTTTCTCCAGTTCTTTGAGGTGTGACCGTAGGATGTTTGTGCTCTTTCGGAACTCTGATGTAGGCATTTAATGATAAGAACGTTCCTCTTAGCACCACTTTGGCACCGCAGGTTTTGCTAGGTTGTACCATTATCACTCAGTTCAAAGAATTTTTAAATTTCCTTCTGGATTTCATTGTTGACCCAACGATCATTCAGGAGCAGGTTGTTCATTTCCATGTATTTGCATGATTTTGAGGGTTCCTTTTGCAGTTGGTTTCTAGTTTTATTCCGCTGTGGTCTGAGAGGGTACTTGATAAAATTTTTAGATTTTCTATCATATGGTCTGTCTTGCAGAATGTTCCATGTGCTGATGAGTAGAATATATATTCTGTAGTTGTTGGGTAGAATATTCTGTAAATAACTATTAAGTCCATTTGTTCTAGGGTATAGTTTAAGTCCATTGTTTCTTTGTTGACTTTCTTTCTAGTGCTGTCCATGGAGTATTGAAGGCCCCCACTATTATTGTGTTGCTGTCTGTCTCATTTCTTTGGTGTAATAGTACTTGTTTTATAAATTTGGGAGCTCCAGTGTTAGGTGCATATATACTTAGGACTGTGATGTTTCCCTGTTAGACAAGTCCACTTATCATTGTATAATGTATGTCCCTCTTTGTCTTTTTTAACGATGTTGCTTTAAAGTTTGTTTTGTCTGATATAAGAATAGCTACTTCTGTTCACTTTTGGTATCCATTTGCATGGAATATCTTTTTCCATCCCTTTACCTTAAGTTTATGTGAGTTCTGACGTGTCAGGTGAGTCTCTTGAAAAACGGCAGAAACTTGGTTGGTATCAATTCCGCAGCTCTGTATCTTGTATGTGGAGCGTTTAGGCTGTTGGCATTCCGCGTTGGCATTACGATGTAAGTACTATTCATCATGCTAGTTGTTGCCTGAATACGTTGTCATCTTTTTTTCCTTGTGTTATTGTTTTATAGGTTCTGTGAGATTTATGCTTTCTGGAGGTTCTGTTTTGGTATAATTTGAGGATCTGTTTCAAGATTTAGAGCTCCTTTTCACAGTTTTTCTAGTGCTGATTTGGTCAGTGGTAAATTATCTCACTGTTTGTCTGAAAAAGACTGTAGCTTTCCTTTATTTATGAAGCTTAGTTTAACTAGCTAGAAAATTCTTGGCGTGAAAAATGTGGGAGACGAGGGATAGAGGAGATGAGAGCAGGAGTCGTGTCACGAAAGACCTGTCTGAAGAGAAGATGGCAGAAAGACCTTCACGTGGACAGAGCACCAGCCTGCCCCTCTGGTGTGCCACCACCTACGCATGCCAGAGCTAGGGCCAGAGCCACGGGGGGCATCAGTGGGCCCCCCGCCCAGCCACGGCTCCGGGGATCATCTCACCACCCCCAGCTCAGACTCCTAGCTTGCGGAGTCTGCATCTTCAGGATTTCATCAGAGCTAGTCTGCGGTCAGCTTCAGTGGGCTGTCTTATCACCTTCTCCAGGGCGCAGTCACTGCGATCGCGGCCACACGTCGTTCCCACTGGGCGAGCAGGGGAGGTTCACAGTCCACATTTTCTAACGGGTCCTTTCTCCCGTCATCCAAGGAGCTCCGGGTCCAAGAACTGATTGAGGAGCCATGATTTCTTTTATGATGGTTCAAGTGAGACTTGTATTTGGTAGACCCAGGTTTTTCCCTTAATCCACATCAAATGAGACTTCCAAAGGCTGATCATTTGTTCCAGCCCCGGGGACACCACAGTCCGTTAACCAGCACCAGCATCCCTGTGCGTGGGCCAGGCCATTTGAGTACACGTGGGCTGTGCTGCCCACCACGGGGCACCATTGGAGTCAAGGAGCCCAGGCTCAGGGCTGACAGAGAAGAGCTCCCACAGAAGTCTTCAGAGATGCCTGAGATGAGATCAGGTTTGATGGAGCTGGAACAGCAGGCCCTGCTGACTCTGGAACTGAATAAATCAAAATTCCCCCCTCACACAAAGCTGCCCACGGGAGAAGCTGCTGGGAGTAGCATGCAGGCTGGTAAGTGTCAGGACGGTGGGAGGGGAGCCTCAGGCAGGTCTCAGAAGGCCTGAGCCAGCGCTGTCACTGTCGGCCCTGGCCCACCCACTTCCTCTTCAGAAGCGTGAGAAGGCTTATTTCACTTCCAGTCGAGCCACAGGTAAAGACAGTGGTCCAGTACGCTTTAGACACGTTACAGTAACAAAGAAAATGTGCGTGCACAGCGGTGTCCCTACAGACAGTGGAGGCACATCGTAGAGACACCACAGACTGTGGAAACCGTAACATCATCTTCCACAGTGAGCCAAAAGAAATGAAGAAAGTAGTAGTTGCTCTGAAAGAATAATATAAATCAGAATTTTTAGAAATCCAGAAATAAGGTTATTGGAAAAAAAAGTTTTGAAAAGAAAAATGATAAAAACTCATGAAAAAAATTAAAAAGAGAAAAGAATATTTCAAAACTGCAGACCTACACCAGAAACAACACAATGGATGAGGACTGAGAAATAAGAATGAAAAGAGGAACATTTTTAAAATCAAAAAGAAATAAAGCAGAAAAAGGCGTTGAAGCCTGGGCGTGGTGGCTCCCGCCTGCAATCCCAGCACTTTCGGAGCCTGAGGGGGGCGGATCACGAGGTCTGGAGTTCAAGACCATCCTGGCTAGCACGTTGAAACCCCTTCTCTACTAAAAATACAAAAAATTAGCCGGGCATGGTGGCAGGCACCTGTAGTCCCAGCTACTCGGGAGGCTGAGGCCGCAGTGAGCCAAGACTGCACGGTCGCACTCCGGCCTGGGTGACGGTGAGACTCCCTCTCAAAAAAGAAAAGAAAGGGAAAGAGAAAGGGTTTGAGAGGAAACGATTCAGAAGGTGGATGATGAAGATTCAGTGTACCTGTCAAGACAGATTCCTCAAGAAGAAAACCAAAGCAATGCAAGGGGCCGACTGGCATTTATTTCAAGGAAATATCGATAACATAGAAGACACCTTAAAAGTGTCTATTAAAAGCATATATCAGGAACTTGGTAAAACCAGCCCAAACTGGTCAACACTAAGAATTACTGCATCTTAGGCTGGTTAAAGATAAGAAAAGCAAATCATAAATAAGAGAACGATATTGCAGTGAAAGTATTGGACTTTGCAGGCGAAGAAGTCGTCTTTGGGCTGTCTGAGCAGAGCAGGCAGGGAAGGAAAAGTCGATTGTCCTCAGACCTTTGCCAGAGCCAAGGAAAGGAAATGTGGGTCAAGGGTTTGGTCGCCAGCCTCATCAATCTTCTAGGAGTAAAGGCTGCAGACAGATGGTGACGGACGTGCCGCGATCAGGAGGAGCGTTGGTCCCTGGAGAGCAGACCTTGGCTGGCAGACGCTGGGCGCTGGCGGCACGGCACATGTCCCTTTGAGCATCTCTGCACCACAGAGCAGGGCCCTGCATGTTTTCCTTCGAGTCAAAGAGGCTGGGACTCAGAAAGAGACCACGTCCCCTCTGAGACGCCGGGTAGAGCCTTTACTTCTGGGGCAGCCTTCTGCGAGTGTCACTTGGTACAGGCCATGGTGTTTCCGTCGGCATTGGCCAGATACGATTTCGAGTAAAATCATTGGTCAAGGCCTTGACCAAGGCCATTACTGTCCAGTAGAAATAGAATGCAAGTCATATCCGTAATTTGAAATTTTCCCATAGTCACATTAGAAAAGGAAACAGGTGAAGTTGTTTTTAATGACATACGTAAGCGAACCCCGTTTTATCAGTTCACAGCCTCATTGCTGTGGCAGTGTAACTGAGGTGGACCTTAGGCTAGTCTCTCGCTTCCTTCTCAGTCTTTGAAATCTGGTCTCAGGTGGGAGCAGCTGAGCTGCGGCCCCGGCGGCCGCATTGGAGGGTGCAGCCTGGACAAGCTCCAGCAGCTGCACACATGAGGGCTTGCAAGGCCTGTGGGGACGGGCGCACGTGCCTTACCACCCATGCGTGCCCTTCAGCGACTCCAGGCGCCCCAGAGGAAGCCGCTCAGCTCCAACAGCCGGGGAGGCACACCGCCGGCTGGGTTGTGCTGCAGGGCAGGGCGGGGGCTCAGCGGGTGCGTGCGGGGAAGGGTGACAGGAGCAGGCCATGCGTACACTCTGCCCCAGAGGGTACTGGACGGCAGAGGTCGGTGGCATGGAGGTGAGTGCAGTGGAGAAAGGCATGCCCAGTGGGGGTGATGGAAAAAGTGGGGTGCCAAGAAGCAAGCTGCTGTCGCCTCTCAGAGCCCGCGCTCTCCCGGGGCTGCCTCGTGCAGCCCTGCCAGGGACCATGAAGCCCGGGTAGGATCAGAGGCCGCCGGCGCCTCCTTCCTGTCTGGACCAGCTCTGTCCCCCACCCCTGTCTTTGGTCCCGCAGGAGCTGGATGGCCTGTTGGAAATCAACCGCATGACCCACAGGCTGCTGAGCCGGTACCTGACGCTGGACAGCTTCGATGCCATGTTCCGGGAGGCCAACCACAATGTGTCGGCGCCCTACGGGAGGATCACCCTGCACGTCTTCTGGGAGCTCAACTACGACTTCCTGCCCAACTACTGCTACAATGGCTCTACCAACCGGTGAGCGTGCCTGCCATGCAGGCGCCCGCAGGGGAGGAGCTCGGGGACCCACGCCCCGCAGGCGTCCTCCATGCCACCAGGTCCCTGCCTCCCCACTCTTTCTGCTCCCCATCACGTCTCACAGCACGCAAGCCACGCGGGCCCTCCATTGGCTTCCGTGTCCACCCTCGCGTGGACAGTCACTGCTTTGCACATGGAGCTTGAGTGGGGCTGCATCTCCTGGCTTGCCGTCTGCCTGTCGGTGGAAAGGGGGTGCCTGCTTCTCGTGCTTCTGTACTGGGATGTTGGGATTTGGGGCAGCCACCCTCCCACCCGCCACCCATGGTGCCACGGTGTTGGACGACATGAAGTGATGTGATTGGTGGTGAAATGGTGGATGCTGGCAGTACCCTGAGTTCAGCCTCCTGGTGGGGCCCGAGTCCTGGGACAGCCCTGCCTTGGGCTCCGCATGCCGGGCAGCCGCCATTCTGGCTGAGGTTCCTTCTCTGCACGGTGAGCTTGGCTCGCATACGGTGTCAGCGTGTGCCAGGAACGTGTGCGTGTGTCACTCACCATGCCTTCCCACAGACACCAGCAGCCTGGTTGATGACTGGGGCCCCAAGCAAGGTGCCTGGCTGCTGAGCTCCATCCATAGATAGAGCGGTGTAGGTGCGTGCACACAGGTGTCAGGAGCACTTTTACACGAGTGCTGTGCTTACTCCTGGATCTCCGTGTCCCACCCACATGTGGCTGAATTCTCCCGACTCAGGCCCAGAGTTTTGTGTCTCGTGAGACAGGGTGCCGAGCTGCGAGGGCAGAGGAGGGGAGCAGCTGTCCCACGGGCCAATTCTGCCTGCTGTGGCCGTTGTCCGTTCAGGACCCCTGGGGACAGGGCCGCGTTTCCTGTGGGACCCTGGGTCAGTGTCACTGAGGCCATTCTCCAGGGTCGTGGCCTTGAGCTGTGGGCTGCAGGTGGTGGTACCCGGCTTGGCTTCTCAGCTCAGGGGACCTCCAGGCTGGGCTGGAGTGGTCCGTGGCAACCAAACTGTGAAGACTGCCTCTGTTTAATTCACCTGGACGGTGCCCACGTGCCTCAACATTTTTAAAAGATGTTTATGCTTGGAATTAATTGAACAAATATTCTTATACAAGTAATGCATCAAAATCATAGAAAAATGAGAAATCATAGATACATAGATGAGAGAAAAATTAGTGAACTCCCCAGAGGTTTCCTTGGTAGAAATGTATTTGTCCTCTAAAGCAAGGCATGGGTGGCCCTCAGCCCCTCCATCCCCTGAGGCAGCACCCCTGCAGGACCACATACATCACAGCAGCAGAGAAGGATGGCCGGGCACCTCCTTCCCCACACCGCGGGAGCTGACTTGAACACCCAGTGCCATGTGCGCAGCTGCTCGGGGCCGTCTGGGGGGTCTTCCGCCCAGGCAGCCGCGCGCGTCCGCACCGTGGGTAGCAGGAGGCCCCTGGATACATAGGGGTCCTGGACACATGGGGGCCCCTGGACACAGGCAGGCTGGCTCCATCTTATCTGGAACCCAGTTTCACGTGTGTCACCTGTTTGCCCAAGAGACCCAGAGCTGCTTCCTTGGGCAGAAGTCAGCATGCAGTCACCTGAGCCTGCTGGTGGCCTGGTGCCTGGGGATCCTTGAGGTGCCATTCACGGGGAACCCTCGCTTGTCACAGGGGCATTTTCTGCAGAAAAGCTCCAGTTTACTCAGCAGCCTCCACCTTCCGTGAGTGTTGGTAGAAGCCATTGTGCCCGCGTTTCCCACAGGTCTTCTGGGGGAGTCAGGAAAGCTTTGTTCTCTGGTAAAGGCATTTTAAAACAGGATTTTGTGTATCCAAGTTCTGTGCTGAATCCTGAGAACACGCACAAAACGATGTTACCCGGGATTTTAGTCCCATGCCTGAGGGTTTTCTGAGAGCTGCTTGACGCAAGCCAGGACTTGGCTTGTTGCCTGGCCTGACTTGCGGCTAGTGAGTTACTGCCTCGTGGTTCTGGGAGGTGACTTGGGGGCCTGCCACTGGAATTTAACCTGTACATGAATCAGCGTGCGATAATGCTGCAGCTCTGGAAAGAAGCTGGCAGAAGGGTATTTCCTCAGGTCCAGAGTCAGGCCTCTTTGCCGGAAGGCCATAGATGGGGGGTGTGTCCTCAGTGAGGCACCCCGGAGCCCAAGGCTGCACCTGTCCCCTCGCTGCTCGTGGTGACTTCTGTGCCTGGGGTGTGGTGATGGCTGCCCTGTGTCGCCACTATCATGTTACCATTTTTCAGTTTAAAAGTTATAAATAATTTGTAGGGAGATAATTTGAGATGATATAAACTCCCTCATTAAAATTTGACCCAGTCATTTTAGATCTGTTGACGATTCCTTCCCGAATCAGTTATCTTCACACTGCTGGTGCTTGATCAGTGAGTTGTGGTTTGGTTTGTGTTGTTTTGTTTCGAGATGGAGTCTTCCTCTGTAGCCCAGGCTGGAGTACACTTAGGCCATCTCGGCTCACTGCAGCCTCTGCCTCCCAGGTTCAAGGGATTCTCCTGCCTCAGCCTCCCGAGTTCCTGGAATTACAGGTGCATGCCACCACACCCAGCTAATTTTTATATTTTCAGTAGAGACGGGGTTTTCCTATGTCAGCCAGGCTGATGTCAAACTCCTGCGCTCAGGTGATCCGCCTGCCTCAGCCTCCAACGTGCTGGGATTACAGGCACGAGCCACCGTGCCCAGCTGAGTTTTAACTCCTTCACTCTCTCTGCAGGAATTAGCTGGCATTCTGCTGTACTTGGTAGCGTTTCTAATTATTTGCTTATTTGTTCTAACCCAGGGTTATCACCCGTTACTGTGGAGTTTCAGGCCGGGGTGGGTGCAGTTGGGGCAGTGGGTGCCGCCTGCTTGGTTTCGGTCTCCTGGGGCCGTCTCCACCGCTCTTCCTGCGCGGCTGACCTTCAGCATCACAGGATGTTCCAGGCTCATCCTGTCCTTGTCCTGTGCGGTCCTTGCAATCTGTCATTTCTCCGATTCCTTCCGGTGCAGAATGGCATTTAGAAACGGAGTCTGGGTGTGATGGGTGCTGATTGCTTTCGGGGGTGTCATTGTTTCTAGATGCTCTTAGGGGTCAGCGCGAGCACATCCTCACATCTGGACTGCCTAGGTTCCTGTGGTTGCGACATATGGGGCGGCTAAAAGAACAGACTCTATTCTCTCACAGTTGTGGAGTCCAGAAGTCCGACGTCAAGGTGTCAGCTGGACCATACGCCCTCTGAGGCGCCGGGTAGAGCCCTTACTTCTGGCGGTGGCCTCAGTTACGAGTGTTCTTGGCATCACTCCAGCCTCCTGTCTTCACTGCTGTTCTCCCTGTGTGCCTCTGTCTCTGGGTCTCCTTTCTTCTCAGAAGGACTTTAGTCTTACTGGGTCAAGAACCTGCCGTGCTACTCCTGCATGACCTTGTCTGAAGCAGGCACATATGCGGTGACCTTATTTCCAACAGACTTCACATTCTCAGGTACCATGAGTGAGGACTGAGCATATCTTTTTCAACAGAGTCTCACTGGCTGGAGTGCAGTGGTGCGATCTTGGCTCACCACAACCTCCGGTGGGTTCAGGCGATTCTCCTGCCTCAGCCTCCTGAGTAGCTGGGATTACAGGTGCATGCTACCACACCTGGCTAATTTTTGTATTTTTAGAATAGATGGGGTTTCACCGTGTTGTCCAAGCTGGTCTCAAACTCCCGATTTCAGGCAATCCGCCCACCTCAGCCTCCCAAAGTTCTGGGATTACGGGCATGAGTCACCACACCCAACCAAACACATCTTTTTCAGAGACACAATACAACCCATAGCACATGTGTACGTGTGTATTAGTCATTTTCACACTGCCAATAAAGACATATCCGAGACAAAAGGAGGAAGTTTAAATGGACTTATGGTTCCACATGACCAGGCCTTACAGTCACGGCGAAAGGGGAAAGGCACATCTCACATGGCAGCAGACAAGAGAGAGACCTTGTGCAGGGAAAATCCCCTTTTAAAACCATGAGATCTCGTGAGACTTATTCACTGTCGCAACAAAAGCATGGGGAAGACCTGCCCCTGTTATTCAGTTAGATCCCAGTGGGTCCCACTCATGACACGTGGGAATTGTGGAAGTTACAATTCAAGATGAGATTTGGGTGAAGACACAGCCAAACCATATCAATGTGCATGTTTATTTCTATATAGTTATCTGTATTTTAAAGCTATGAGTTTATACGGATATTTCCAATTCCAGTTCAACACTGCAGAGTTTACTCTTCTCCCTTTCCCTTTTTCTGACCTCCTTAAACACTGAGAATCCTTGCTTCATTATTATTAGTATATTACTCATTTGCTCATTCCAAAAAAACACAGAAAGTAGTTTCAGAATTGCTACTCTGGGCTGGGGGCAGTGGCTCACACCTGTAATCCTAGCACTTTGGGAGGCCAAGGCAGGAAGACCTCTTGAATCTAGGAGGTCAAGAGCAACCTAGGCAACATAAGGAGACCTCGTCTCTCTACAAAAGAAAAATTTTTTTGAGACAGAGTCTCGCTCTGTCACCCATGCTGGAGTGCAGTGGCTCAGGCTCAGCTCACTGCAACTTCCACCTTCCAGGTTCAAGTGATTCTCCTGTCTCAGCCTCCCAAATAGGTGGGACTACAGGTGCACGCCACCATGCCTGGCTAATTTTTTGTATTTTTAGTAGAGATGGGTTTTCACCGTGTTAGCCAAGATGGTCTCGATCGCCTGACCTCTTGATCCACCCACCTCAGCCTCCCAAAGTGCTGGGATTACAGGCGTGAGCCACCGCGCCCGCCCTGCAAAAAGTTTTTAGAAATTAGCTGGGTGTGGTGGTACACCCCTATGGTCTCAGCTGCTTGGAAGGCTGACATGGGAGGATCACTTGAGCCTGGGGAATCTAGGCTGTAGTGAGCCACAATCGTGCCACTGCACTCCAGTCTCAGCAACAAAGCAAGACCTTATCTCAAAAAAAAAAAGAAAAGAAAGAATTGCTAATTTTTCCATTATGAAACACAAACCTACCAACTGCAGTTCAACATTTGTTATCAAATTTTGTCTTTAGATTGAGAATATATAGAAAATACTGTGTTTTACATTCTTTAGCCAGGCATGGTGGCATGTGCCTACAGTCCCAGCTACTTTGAAGGCTGAGGCAGGAGAATCGCTGGAACCCAGAAGCCGGAGGTTGCAGTGAGCTGAGATTGTGCCTTTGTACTCCAGCCTGGGCAACAGAGCAAGATCTAAAGATAGATAGATAGATGATAGATAGATAGATGATAGATAGATAGATAGAATAAAACTGCATAGATAGGCAGGTAGATAGATAAATAAAATCTCTGGAATGATAGAGTAACAGGGATGGATTTATTCTTTCTCCTTAAGTGGAAAGCTGGACACGGCACGTGGACCGACTGTTCAGTCTCAGACATTTCCCTGAGGGGAGGGAAGCGAGTGGGGAGGTGAGCCTCCCTGGCTTTCCATCCAGAAGCAGTTTCTGGAGCAAGTTTAGAGAGAAACAGTTCAAGTACAGCTTGGAAGTTCCTGCTTGGTAGAGGGGACAAATTGGAACTTGGGGAAGCTGAGGCAGCTGGGATTGGCAGGGTGGGGTGTGAGAGAAGAGAGAGCTTAACAGAAACAGGTCCTGAAACCACATAGGTGTCCCATAGGCTTTGCTTGAATACTAAACTGTGCGTGTACCGGGGAGCTGTTAGCTGAATGATTCGCAGCAGTCACCCAAGGGTGGGACGCTTCTGAGTTCCTACCAGCAAGAAGAATGGAACCTTTCTGAGGTTGGGCACGGTGGCTCACCTGTAATCCCAGCACTTTGGGAGGCCAAAGCAGGCAGACGACTTGAGGTCAGGAGTTCGATACTAGCCTGGCCAACATGGTGAAACCCCACCCCTACTAAAAACACAAACAAGTAGCCAGGCGTGGTGGTGGGCACCTGTAGTCCCAGCTATTCGGGAGGCTGAGGTGGGAGGAACCTGGGAGGTCGAGGCTGCAGTGAGCCAACAGCCTGGGTGGCAGACTGAGACTCTATTAAAACAAAACAAGGGCCGGGCGCGGTGGCTCACGCCTGTAATCCCAGCACTTTGGGAGGCCGAGGCGGGTGGATCACGAGGTCAAGAGATCGAGACCATCCTGGTCAACATGGTGAAACCCCGTCTCTACTAAAAGTACAAAAAATTAGCTGGGCATGGTGGCGCGTGCCTGTAATCCCAGCTACTCAGGAGGCTGAGGCAGGAGAATTGCCTGAACCTAGGAGGTGGAGGTTGCGGTGAGCCGAGATCGCGCCATTGCACTCCAGCCTGGGTAACAAGAGCGAAACTCCATCTTAAAAAAAAAAAAAAAACAAAACAAAACCCTGTTGAACACCCAGGTGTTCACTAGAGGTGCCAGAGATACTGAACTATGCCACCTCTAGAAGTGCCAAAAACGCATCATGACAAGATCCAGCAGATTGATGAGTCAGCTTTCTGCCCCCCGCCAAGACACTCAAGACTGTAAAAGACAGTGACAAAGTCAAGACAAGCACCATGACACTGAAATGCCCACCACCCAATCTAGAATTACTAGATATGCCAAGAGCCAGGAAAATGCGACCCATAACCTAGAGGAAAATAAGTCTGTACAAAACAGACGCAGAAATGACAGAGATGAAGGAATTTGCAGACAAGGGTGTTCAGACACCAATTATGCATGTGTGTAAAGATTCAGAGTAAAACATTGCAGAGAGAAATGGGTGTTGGAGAAAAGAATCGAGTGAATTAAAGCTGAAATGCAGTATCAGGAATGCAAAATTACTTGTTGGGCCGAATGCCAGATTAGGCTTTGCAGAAGTTCAGTGAGTTTGTGATTATAACAATGGAAACTGTCTGAACTGAAGCACCAAAAGAAAAACATGAGAAGGGCCTCAGCAAACTGAGAGACAAGGTCAGAGATTCTAATATGCCTGTGATTGGAATCCTGGTAAGAGGCTGTGGGTGGGCAGAAGAGATTTCAAAATTAATGCCCCTGAATTTCACAGATTTGATGAAAAGTGATAAACCTACAGGTACAAGTAGCTCAGTAAACCTGAAGCAGGATCAACGCAAAGGAAAAAGGGCAGCGGGCCCAGCACTAACCAGGGCAAAATCAGGCTAGAGCTGAGCCTCAGTTTACCCGAGGCACGTGCATTGGGGGCTTAGGTTGTTGGTGCTGAAGCTTAGTTTTCCTCTCGGGGTTGCAGTGACTTTGTCTCACTGCAGGGTCCTCCCTGAGACTGCCGTTGCTGCAGACACCAGCCACACATTTGGGGCCCTTGGGACCACCTTCACTTCCAGCCAGCAGGTGACGGTTCAGGATCTGCCCTCAGCAGCTCAGGTGGCAGGTTCACAGTATTCACTGAGCGTGCCCTAACACGATTAGTCACTTCGAGGAAAGGATGCACATTAGAAGGACGTGCAGGGCAAAGCCTGGGAGGTTCCGTGTGCAGAGCTTCCCGTCCTCAGGGACGCGGGATGCTCCTTGGTACTGCCAGCCCAGGATGCTCACTCTGGCTGTGGTGTCCAGTTTTGTTGGGGCTTCATTGCATGGGCACAGTTGTCTGAATCACCGGCCGCATGGCTGAGCTCAGCCTCCAGCCCCTCACCTCCCAGGAGGTCGGTGGGTTCACCAGGCACATAGCTCAGGCCGTCTTCCTGGTGTGGCCAGCCCCTTGTTGAGTCATCTTGCTAGCGATGAGATTGGTGTGGCCTTGTGATGCCAGTCATTCCGTCACTCAGAAACCAGCGCGTAGAGGGAGCCTCCTGGAACTGGGCCAGAGGCCACCAAATCCTACCGAGTCAGTCAGTATCTAGACTTGATAAATCCAGAAGTTGTAGAAATGTATTATTTAGAAATACAGAGGCCAAGCACAGTGGCTCACACTTGTAATCCCAGCACTTTGGGAGGCCAAGGCAGGCGGATCGCTTGAGCCCAGGAGTTCAAGACCAGCCTGGCCAACGTGGCAAGACTCTGTCTCTACAAAAAAAATACAAAAATTAGGCATGGTGGCCTGTAGTCCCAGATACTCATGAGGCTGAGGTGGGAGGATCACTTGAGTCCAGGAGGTTGAGGCTGCAGTGAGTCAGGATCACACCACTGCACTCCAGCCTGGGTGACAAAAAACGTGTGTGTGTGTGTGTGTGTGTGTGTGTGTGTGTGTGTGTGTGTATGTAGTGTGTGTGTGTAATTGTGTGTGTGTAGTGTGTGTGTGTGTGCGTAGTGTGTATGTAGTGTGTGTGTGTATGTGGTGTATGTGTGTATATGTATGTAGTGTGTGTGTGTAATGTGTGTAGTATATGTGTATGTAGTGTGTGTGTATATGTAGTGTGTGTAGTGTGTGTATGTAGTGTGTGTGTGTATGTAGTGTGTGTAGTGTGTGTGTATGTGGTGTGTGTGTATGTATGTGTGTTTGTGTGTGTGTGTAGTGTGTGTGTGTAATGTATGTGTATGTAGTGTGTGTGTATATGTAGTGTGTGTAGTGTATGTGTATGTGTGTGTATGTAGTGTGTGTATGTGGGGTGTGTGTGTGTATGTAATGTGTGTGTAGTGTATGTGTATGTAGTGTATTTGTAGTGTGTGTGTGTGTAGTGTGTGTGTGTGTAGCGTGTGTGTATGTAGTGTGTGTAGTGTGTGTGTGTATGTGGTGTGTGTGTGTGTGTGTGTGTGCCTGTCTGTGTGTATGCAGACGTAGAAAAGCCTCCTGTAACATAAGTGGTGTCGTATCCTGGCACTTGGCTCCCTGCGTGGATTTGTACTCTGATTTTTTTATTTGCTGTCCTCTCTTCCCCCCAACCCCACCATCCCTATCAGAGGTGAACAGAGCCTGATGGCTTTGAAGGTGTGTTGCGGCCAAGGGTGTGAGCATTGCCCACGACTCTCTGGGGAATGGGGTTCTGACCTTGGCACCTCCTGATGGAATGCTCCTCCTGGAATGGGTGTAAGAACACAGGCGCGGGGACACACACAGACACACACACATCCACATGCAGATAACACACCTCCATACATGGACACACGCAGGTACGGATTCACAGAGATGTATGCAGACACACACGCCCAGCGCTGAGGACTGTGGCACCCCTGGATATGGCCATGCTGACAGCACCGGCATCCAGGATCCTTTTGGAAAGGCACACACAGCAGTGCCGCGGTGGGTGGTCAGGGGCCTCGTGGCTGCTTCCCTGCCCAGCACACATTCTGTGTGACAGCAGGACTTCAACAGTTACATCTGTTTTCATTTCCTGAAGTGCGGTGTGAGTTAATCAGGTACTTGGAATTGCATTATTAGCAGATCCACAACATTTTCTTTCTTATACTTCTTTGTGAACGTTTTATGTATTTAAATGAACCCTTCCTATTTGAAAGCCTTAGCCAAGTTTGATGTTTCTCCTTGAAAGTGGACACATTTGAATTTAAGTGGCCCCTAATCCATTATCAAGACACAATCTTTTACTAATCGAGTGGGTTACAAATACTCAGAGGGGTCCCTGTTCTTCCCTGGTGGTGTGTGCCTGGTGATCTGAACCCCTGGGGTGTCACTGTGCTCATCACAGGCGGCTGCCCCGCTGGACTCACTCCCCGCGTCTGGAAGCGCAGCAGAGCCCACGAGCGACCTCAGGCTTGCGCTGGGCTCGAGGAGTCTGGTACAATGTACCAGGCCCCAGGGGTTCCCGCCGTGGCTCCTGAGCTTTGGGTGCGTTTGTCATATTTGACTATTGGTATCTTATTCATTCCATGGTTTTTGATTCACTAGAATTTTCCTCTCTGATGATTGTGTCAGTTGACTGGGAGGAAGATTTAGTAGATGGATTATGGAGAAGTTCTGAATTTTAAAGAACTGTTGTTAAATTTGGTTTCTTTTTCTTTTTTAAATCATGTTTAGGTTTGTTCGGACAGTATTACCATTTTCTCAAGAATTTCAAAGAGATAAGCAGCCTAATGCACAACCCCAGTATCTGCATGGATCCAAGGTAGGCGCTTGTGTGCTTGTGTTCCAAGTTTCAAGTTCATAATGAAGCATGTTTTCGAGTGTAGTTTAACTGGTTTGGTTGCAGTGACCTAAATATATCGGGCCATGTGTGTTGTTTTTTTCTTCCTTTCCATTAGCATTTTCCTGAAAAGTAGCAGTAATTTAAAACAAAAACCAGCCAACCAACCCAAAAAAGCCCTTCTCTGGAGCTAGGGCATACATGGTGTTGGGCCCCCTTGGCCTCGTGATGGGTGTCAGGCTTGGACTCGCCTCATTCCCTGCAAACACACCAGTGAGATTGTTAAAAGATTAAACGTTTACATGGAATATTACGCAGCCATCAAAAACGATGAGTTTGTGTCCTTTGGCGGGACATGGATGAACCTGGAAACCATCATTCTCAGCAAACTGACAGAAGAGCAGAAGATCAAACACCACATGCTCTCACACATAGGCGGGTGTTGAACAATGAGAACACATGGACACAGGGAGGGGAGCATCACACACTGGGGTCTGTTGGGGGGAAATAGGGGAGGGAGAGTGGGGGGTGGGGAGTTGGGGAGAGATAGCAAGGGGAGAGATGCCAGATATAGGTGAAGGGGAGGAATGCAGGAAATCACACTGCCACGTGTGTACCTATGCAACTATGCAATAAAAAGAAAGAAGGAGTAAAGGTTTAAAAACATCAAGCCCTGAGACAAGGACATCCAGGGCGGCTGCCAGGCCTGACGCGCCCTGATGGAAGAGCTGAGCTGGAAAGGTGAGCCCAGGGAAGGTCTGACATCCAGAAACAAGGATGTCAGCCTGCGCCTGGAGGGCGGAAGCCCGGGACCGGTCTACCATGTGTGAGATGGGGCCGTGTCCACCCTGGGCGTGGCTGGGCTCATCACAAGTCCGAATATTATTAAGGGCTAGCTTCTTTGTTTCAAGCACCCGCATGATTTAGTAAGGAAAATGTAAACACTGTAGCAGAGAAGAAAGATGAAATGAGCAGATAACCACAAAAATAGAGCAGAGCAAATACAAGTAGACCCCCCCAGCGGTGGTGGAGCTGGGGGAGGAGCAGTGGTGGCAAGATGGGGCAGGGGGCCCGGCTGCCCTGTTAGGAGTGAAGGCTTCTTCCCTGCTGCGGGTGGAGGTGTCCCCGATTCCGTAGTGGGGCCGGGCTGCCAGCGCTCATGGGTATTTAAGTGTCCTCGCTTGTAGGAAGCAGGGACAGTCATCAGAATTGTCTGCCCCATCTGCGGAATGCCTGGAGCCAGGACGGGGAGGGCCCGGGCCCTTATGCCCGTACACGGCCTGCACCTGGGTGCCTTCCAAGGCAGCAGCTGGGTCTGAGTTGCAGAAATGATGCTCCCCACTCTTTCCTTTCTAACCCTCTGTTCTTCAGAGCAAGATCTTCTCACTCCAGTCCTCTGGGTGCCTTCCTTCTTACAGGGAGCTGCCTTGGACCTGGCAGGAGCACAAGCATTGGCACCTGGGAAGCAGCAAACACCAAACTGGGGCTTTGGTTTGTGGAGGGCCCGAGTCTCGGCATCACTGCCTCTCCGCCCCTGAAAAGCGCGAGTGTGGGCCGGGGGTGGCTTTCAGTGCAGTCAGAGCGTCCCCGAGCAGGAGAGAGGGATCGCCTTCTCACTGTCCCTCAGCTGTGGGCAGTGGTGTCATTAAGGGATGTGAGGCTCTTCTTCAGGAAACACGGTGGCTCTGTAAAGATCATGACCTTGAAAATACGTTCTCTTTGAAATGGAGTCTTGCTTTGTCGCCTAGGATGGAGCGCAGTGGTGTGATCTCGGCTCACGGCAGCCTCCACCTCCTGGGTTCAAGGGATTCTCCTGCCCCAGCCTCCCGAGTACTTGGGATTACAGGCACCGTGCCCAGCTAATTTTTTGTCTTTAATTTTAGTAGTGATGGGGCTTTACCATGTTGGCCAGGCTGGTCTTGAACCTGCCTCGTCTTTGCGAAGCGTTGGGATTACAGGTGTGAACCATTGGTGGCACCAGGACGGAAGTTGACTTTTATGCAATAATTAGTTATACTTAAAAGGATGTTTCTTTAAAGGATTCAGATAAGTGTTCTGATGTTTCTGCTTCTGACAGTAAAATGTAGTGTTTTACCTTTAGAGCATAAAGAGATTTTGTTGTTTTAGAAGATAGGACTAGAAAGTTGTGCGAGTAAGAATATTTTCTTGGGTCTCTGTGAACTGAAAGATTTGCTGTGGGCTTCCCTTCGCTTTGAAATTTTTAATCCCTGTTTTAGTCATAATGATAAAATAAGTTCCTGTCACTCCCTGATAGAGAGGTGCTTGTGCACAGAGGGCATCAGGCAGAGAGGCTCCTTCCCTGCCCCCACCCGGAGAGGGAATCGGGCCGCGGGCAGGCAGGCAGCCCGACCGTGTGGGGCCCTGCACCTGCAGACCTGCCAGCTTGAGTCTTGGAAGGGGCCTCGTGGGGTTGGTTTTTGAGATCCCAGGATGGCACTGTGGTGACATCCTTGCTGCCCAGCGTGTCTGTGTGCCCTTTGTGGTGTTAAAGGATCTTGACACGTTTTTATTCTCTAGGATTTTCCTCCAGTAGGGCAGGGAGGCACTGTTACTTCCATTAAGACACAGACCCAAGCCCATAGTTCTGGGGCGGTGGTGCACGTTTGCCTTGAGGTAGCCCCCACACCATCAGAGCACCCTGCTCCCCTGTGTGCATGGCCACCCCCTCAGGGATGGCTCCAGGGAATGGGCACTTGGGGGCATTTGCAAAGCTGATGCCCTTTTGGCGGCAAAGAAATATTTGATGATATGAATTTGATTTTTTTTGATTCAACTATTTGTAACTGAATTTGAACCTCAATGTAAGAGATTTCTTCCTCCCTGTCAGAAACTGTGTGTGTGTTGTTTCATTACAAACAAAAACAGTGAATTGTTTTTTTCCCAACAGAGTCTGTCACCCAGGCTGCAGTGCAGTGGTGTGATCTCGGCACACTGCAATCTCCGCTCCTCTGGTTCCAGTGATTCTTGTGCCTCAGCCTCCTGCGTAGCTGGGATTACAGGCATGCGCCACCACACCTGGCCAATTTTTGTATTTTTAGTACAGGTGGGGTTTCACCATGTTGGCCAGGCTGGTCTTGAACTCCTGACCTCAAGTGATCTGCACGCCTCAGCCTCCCAAAGGGCTAGGATTAAGGCATGAGCCACTGTGCCCGGCCATAAACCAGTATTTTTTTTTTTTTTGGAGACAGGGTTTCCCTTTGTCACCCATGCTGGAATATAGTGGCACAATCACATCTTAGTGAAACTTCTGCCTCCCAGACTTCAGCAGTCCTCCTGCCTCAGCCTCCCAAGTAGCTGGGACTACTGGCATGCACCACCAGGCCTGGCTAATTTTTGTGTTTTTTTATAGAGATGGGTTTTTACCATGTTGCCCAGGCTGGTCTTGAACTCCTGAGCTCAAGCAGTTCTCCTGCCTTGGCCTCCCAAAGTGCTGGGACTACAGATGTGTGAGCCACCGTGGCCAGCCCTAAAACAGTAATTTTTTTTTTTTTTTTTTGAGAGGGAGTCTTGCTCTGTCACCAGGCTGGAGTGCGGTGGCACAATCTCGGCTCACTGCAACCTCCGCCTCCTGGGTTCAAGCGATTCTTCCGCCTCAGCCTCCCGAGTAGCTGGGACCACAGGTGCGTGCCACCATGCCCAGCTAATTTTTTTGTATTTTTAGTAGAGATGAGGTTTCACCATGTTGGCTGGGATGGTTTCGATCTCTTGACCTCGTGATCCACCCGCCTCAGCCTCCCAAAGTGCTGGGATTACAGGCGTGAGCCACCGTGCCTGGCCATTTTTTTTTATTTTGAGACGGAGTCTCACTCTGTCCCCCAGGCCGGAGTGCAGTGGTGCAATCTTGGCTCACTGCAACCTCTGCTGCCCTTGTTCAAATGATTCTCCTGCCTCTACTTCCTGAGTAGCTGGGATTATAGGTGCCTGTCACCACACCTGGCTAATTTTGATAGTTTGAGTAGAGACAGGGTTTCACTATCTTGGCCAGACTGGTCTTGAACTCCTGACCCTCATGATCCACCCACCTCGGCCTCTCAAAGTGCTGGGATTACAGGCGTGAGCTACCGCACCCGGCAGTAATTTTCTATTAGGCTATTTAGACACATGTAAGTGGCATTGATGTTGGCCACCCGCCTTATACATCGTGTATAACACTTTTCAGGGGACCCACTCAAAAAAAGGCTGGGCACTGAAACAGATGACGTCTGAGTTCAGTTGTGTGCTCACAGCAGACAGCCTCTGTACCTACAGGCATGCCACGCACGCCTGCTTCTGCTGCAGGACGAGTCACAGTGTTCATATCTGTGTGATCATGAAATACACAAGTGAGTGCTTTTTTTAATGAATACTGAACTAGGGCTAGTGTCTTGCAGGAATAAAATCAACTTAGATGAGTGACCCATTTATGCAATGTTACCTTTTCGGTTCTTGGTCATCCCACCACGTACAGCATGCCTACTCCAGTATTCTTTATCTCGCAAGATTATCCCCAATTCATAAGGCTCAGAGTGCCATGGAAATTAGAGAACCCCAGTTGCACGGCTGGCGAGTCCAGAGCCGGCTGCGTGTGGTGTGACCCACCTCCTCTGCCTTTAGAACGAGGCTGCAGCGTGGGCAGCAGAGTCTGTCTTGAACTGAGCTGTGTGGCTGGGCGTCCAGAGTGCTTCCTCTTCTGAGTTTGTCTTCCACAGCACAGCGTTTGAGACCGTGCCCCTCCTCCTCCTCCCACGGTGTTTAAGTCACATATGCTGTTTGTTACCCGAGCTGTGTTGTCTCTCAAATGTGTCACCTTTGGAGTGAGCTGCATCTACTGGGAAGACGCAGGGGACTGGAGGCCCAGGACCATGTGTTCACTGAGTTATGCCGCCTCTAAGGGCAGTGAGCCCGAGCCAGCCAGGGCAGGTCTGAGAATGAATTCTCCTACTTGTAACATGAGGTCATTAGATTTCACTATTGAGTTTCATGTTCTTTTCAGGCATTGAACCTGTTCTCAAGCAAAAATATTACATAGAATCCCAGCACATAAAGCCCAGGGTGCTCCTCTAAGGAGAGGATGGAAGGAGGGTGTCTGGGCTGATGATCTGTAGATGGCTCCTTCAAGGTTACAAGAGACTGTGGGGCTTGGGCCTGGGACAGACACTGGGTGGGTTTCTGTCCTTCAGTGTTGTCCGATCTGGTCACTGTAGTATTTTATAATCAGTTTTCGCTCTTTCTTCTGGGGGGTGGTCTCATGATCCTCCACACATCTGATGATTCACTAGAAGGACTCATAGAACTCAAGAGTCTCACAGCTTCAGTTTATTCCAGCAAAGGGGTACAAAGCGGGATCAGTAACGGAAGACAGATCAGAGTCTGAAGAAAACAGGAGTTGCTGTATTAATATCAGATAAAGTCAACTTCAGAGCAAAGAATATCGCAAGGGAGATTACATAATAAGAGTCAAACCACCACCAAGAACACATAGCGACGCTAAATGTTTATGCAGCAATCAACAAGGTGTCTATACTTGAACGAAACACTAATAGAAGTAAAAGGAGAAGTGAACAATTCCACAGTTACAGTTGGAGCCTTCAACACTTCTTTTAGTAATTGACAGGACAAGTAGAATTAGCAGCAGTAGAAAAGAACTGACCACCACCATCTACCAACAGGATCTAATTAACGTGTAGAATACTCTACCCCATAACAGCAGAGTATATACTTTTTCCAGATGCCCATGATGCAGTCACTAAGGTAGACCATACCCTGGGCCATAAAACTAACCTCAAGAAATTTAAAGAACCGAAATCCTGTGGAGAGTGTTCTCTGACCACAGTGAACTCAAACCAGAAACCAGTAACAAAAAGATAATAAGAAAATCTCTGTATGCTTGGAAATGAGCCCACTTTTAAATAATCCTTGGGTCGAAGAGGAAGTCTCAAGGAAAATTTTAAAATACATTGAATGAAATGTAAACATACCAAGATTTGTGATATGCAGCTGAATAAGTGCTGAGAGGGAGATTTATAGCACTGAATACTCACATAGGGGTCTCCTGCTGTCTGCACCAGTGTCCTTAGGCTGAGTGGCGTGCTTCTGCAGGAGCCACCTTGATATGGTTTGGCTGGATATCGCCATCCAAATCTCATCTCAGATTGTAAGCCCCACATCCCCCATGTGTCAAGAGGGACCTGGTGGGAGGTGATTGGATCGTGGGGGTGGTTCCCCTGGGATGTTCTCGTGGTAGTGAGTTCTCGCAGGATCTGATGGTTTTATAAGGGGCTCTTCCCCCTTCGCACTGTCTTCTCATTCCTGCCACCAGGTGAAGAAGGTCCTTGCTTCCCCTTTGACTTCCGCCATGATTGAAGTTTTCTGAGGCCTCCCCAGCCATGTGGAGCTATCAGTCAATTAAACCTCTTTCCATTATAAATTACCCAGTCTCGGTTATTTCTTTATAGCAGGGTGAAAATGGACTCATAGTAAATTGGTACTGGTAGAGTTGGGAACTGCTATAAAGATACCCAAAAATGTGGAAGCGACTTTGGAACCAGGTAACAGGCAGAGGTGGGAACAGTTTGGAGGGCTCCAAAGAAGACAGGAAGATGTGGGAAAGTTTGGAACTTTCTAGAGACTTGTTGAGTGGTTTTGACCAAGATGCTGATGGTGATATGGACAGTAAAGTCCAGGCTGAGGTGGTCCCAGATGGAGATGAGGAACTTGTTGGGAACTGGAGCAACGGTCATTCTTAACTGTACCGTAGCAAAGAGACTGGTGGCATTTTGCCCCACCCTAGAGATCTGTGGAACATTGAACTTGAAAGAGATGATCTGAAATTGGAGCTTATGTTTAAAAGAGAAGCAGAGTATAAAAGTTTGGAAAATTTGCAGCCTGGTGATGTGATAGGAAAGAAAAACTCTGGGGAAGAATTCAAGATGGCTGCAGCATTTTGAATGTCTGTCACCAAGACAATGGGGAAAATGTCTGCAGGGCATGTATGAGGCGGCCCCCTCCCATCATAGACCCAGAGGCCTAGGAGGGAAAAATGGTTTCCTGGCCTGGGCCCAGGGACCCTGCATCCCAGTTGCTAAAAGGTGCCAACAATACAGCTCAGGTTGTTGCTTCACAGGGTGCAAGCCACAAGTCTTGGTGGCTTCCACATGGTGTTGGACCATCTAGATTTCGAAGAATATGTGGAAACGCGTAAATGTCCAGGCAGAAGTTTGATGCAAGGGTGGGGCCATCATGGAGAACCTCTGCTAGGCCAATACAGAAGGGAAATGTGGGGTCGGAGCCTCACACTGAGTATCCACTGGAGTACTGCCTAGTGGGGCTGTGAAAAGAGGGCCACCCTGTTCCAGCCCCCAGTGAGCTTGCACCGTGCACCTGGAGAAACCGCACTCAACGTCAGCCATCCTGCAAAGCCATAAGGGTGGAACTGCCCAAGACCACAGGAGCTTACCTCTTATATTGTGACCTGGATGTGAGACATGGAGTCAAAGGGGATTATTTTGAAGCTTTAAGATTTAATGACTGCCCCACTGAATATCAGACTTGCATGGAGCCTCTATCCCCTTTGTTTTAGCCAATTTCTCCCATTTGCAATGGGAATATTTATCTAATGCCTGTACCCCTGTTGTATCTTGGAAGTAGCTAACTTGTTTTTGATTATACAGGCTCATAGGTGGAAGGGACTTAACTTGTCTCAGATGAGACTTTGGACTTGGACTTTTGGCTTAATGCTGGAATGAGTTAAGGCTTTGGGAGACTGTTGGGAAGGCAGGATTGTGTTTTGAAATGTGAAGACTGATGAGGGACTAGGGACCAGGGCAGAATGATGGATAAGGTCTGGCTTTGTCCCCACCCAAAACTGACCTCAAATTGTAATCCCCACTATCCCCACGTCAAGGGCGGGGCCTGGTGGGAGCTGATTGGCTCATGGTGGTAGTTTCCCATAAGCTGTGTTTGTGAGTGAGTTCTCATGAGATCTGATGGTTTTATAAGCGATTATTTTGCTCCCTCTTTCCTGCCTTCAACTTCTGCATAGTTGTAAGTTTCCTGAGGCCCCCCCATCCATATGGAACTGTGAGTCAATTAAACCTGCTTTTTTAAAATAAATCTTGCAGTCTCGGGTATTTCTATATAGCAGTGTGAAAACGGACTAATACACATCCTAACTACCTTCCTCACCCTCCCACCCAACAGGGGCCTCTCTCCCAGCTCCAGGGCACCCTGTGCGTTCTGAGAAGGTAGCTCCCCCGGCCCCTTCAGCGTCTGACCCCCGGCATCCTGCCGGGACACTGCGAGGCAGGGGAGACTCTGAGTTGTATTCATTTCTCATTGCAGACTTCAAAATGGCATCTGGCAAATTGGCAGTTAAACAAATGTTGAAACACCAAATGGTTTTGTTTTCTTTCTTTAGCAGGTTCCTTTTCGGTGGCAGGTGGAGTGGGTTTTGTAACTGTGTCAGTTAAGGGCAGTCGATTTTACAAGGCAGGAGACTTCACCTGAGCCGCTGTGGTGACTGATCTTCCCACGATTCCTCATCAGCACGTGTGTGCAGCGACCATGCTGAGAGCTCTGTGCCCTGTCTTCCAGGCTTTGAACCTGGCCTACTCCAGCATTTACGGCAGCTACCGGCACTTTGTGGGGCCTCCGCATTTTCAAGTCATCTGCCGGCTCCTTGGCTACCAGGGTATTGCTGTGGTCATGGAGGAGCTGCTGAAGGTCGTCAAGAGCCTGGTGAGTGTCCCTAGACACCCCTCCTTCACAGCCTGGATTCCCAGGGCATGCAAGCAAAGGGGTCTCCCCCGTCTGGACTGTGATTCTCCAACAGCTGGATTAATTCAGTTTGGTTTCAAACACCTGTAACCATATATAGTTTGATGTCTGCCTCATCTTTGTGAACTCAAGAGAATGGGTCCAGGTTGTTTTAACTGATACATAGAGCCTTTACTTGTATGCATAGAGATGGGGTCTTGCTATGTGGGCTATCTTGGCCAGCCTGAATTTAGTTTTCTGTACATAACATATTGGTCATTCACTGAGAGAGAACTTTTTGTAGTCTTTATTTATTTATTGAGATGGAGTTTTGCTCTTGTTGCCTAGGCTGGAGTGCAGTGGCGCAATCTTGGCTCACTGCAACCTCCACCTCCTAGGTTCAAGCGATTCTCCTGCCTCAGCCTCCCGCGCAGCCGGGATAACAGGCACGCGCCACCACACCTGGCTGTTTTATTTTTAGTAGAGACATTTATTTTAGGGTTTGTCCATATTAGTCAGGCTGGTCTTGAACTCCCGACCTCAGGTGATCCACCCGCTTCAGCCTCCTAAAGTGCTAGGATTACAGGCATGAGCCAACGCGCCCAGCCCATCCTTTTTTATTATGTTAATAATCTTCTGTGCCTGAGACCGTGTGAGTTTGGTCATTTGGCACAGCCATCACCCCATGACCTAAACAGCTTCTTCCAGGACCCCCCACTGGGGACTCTGACCCAAAGCCTGTGGCAGCTTAGACCTCACCACAGCTGAGCATGGAGCTGCACCCAGGAGCACAGATGACTTCCTGGGGGAGCCTGGAACTGGCCGTGCTCACGCGTTCGGGGGCATCCCCGGGGGGGACACCTGGTGGCACCTCGGGGCCACTTCATCTTCAAAGGAGAGCCCTGTTTCAGAACATGGATCCAGCCATGGGAAGCCACCTGGTGATGGTTGCTCTCTTCAGGGGCAGATTTCATTCTCCGACCACGTGACCCTGCAGCCTGCTCACTGCCAAGCTCTTTGCTGACAAGACGCATTTCGGGGCGTGAGCTCCGGTGCTAGCAGAGTGGGGTGGGGAGGCTGACGCAGCCTGTCTCGTCTCCCCCGCAGCTGCAGGGCACCATCCTGCAGTACGTGAAGACGCTGATGGAGGTGATGCCCAAGATCTGCCGCCTGCCCCGGCACGAGTATGGCTCTCCCGGTGAGTGCAGGCGCCTCCGGGCATGCGGAGCTCACAGTGCTGTCCTGGGAGAGGTCAGAAAGGAATTCAACTCAGAATGATTGAAAAGGATTAGAATTGCCATGCGGGAGCAGGCAGTAGACAGACAAATGCACCTTACGACCAGAAAGGAGGTATACTGGGTCACTTTCTGCAGATGGAGAGCTGAGGGGCCCAAGAGATCCACCCACAGGAGTTGAGACAATAGGGCCCTGAATGCCACACACTCCTGTGGCCTGTGAAAGAACCGGCCACCAGCTGAGGCCAGGGAACCAACTGCCGGGTCCTGCTTCCCTGCAGGGCCTATGGGGGCTTGAGCCTCAGAGACAGCCGCACCCCTGCCCCCAGGCAGTCCCGTCCAGTTGCAGGTCCTGCTGTGTGGCCCTCAGGCAGGTGTGTTCTTAGGGACAGGCCCGCATGACTTGTGGGCTGGTGGGCTGGTTTGGGGCTATGCAGATAAACAGCTTTAGTGATCTCAAAAATCATTGTCTTATGGTAAAATTGTATGGCAGGGACCTTTGTCACATAACAAACTGCTTTTAGTCTCTTACCTGGCAGAGTTTTCTTGAAAGCTGGACAGTTGAACACTAGCCTTGTCTTGTAAAGTGACTTGAGTGTGCATGTACGTGACCAACGAGACACTGTCTTGTTGGGCAGTCCATCAGCCTGGCTGAGCCCTTGAACACTGCCCAGGACGTTCTGCTTTCTGGCACCTGCCCAGGGCTATGGCTGGTGTTTGAGGTGTCTCCCTCAGCCCCCGTGGGGAAGTGACCATGAGCACGTGGGGAACCCCTCAGTCCCTGTGAGGAAGTGACCATCGGCGCGTGGGGAACCTCTCAGCACCCCGGGGAAGTGACCATCAGCATGACCCTGGCTCGGGAGAATCCAATTCTAGTTGATTGTAAGAAAGTAGATGAGCTGGGATGCTCAAACCAATGCTTGTGTCATGACTGGAGGTGAAAAATTCAGATGTTGAGGGGAAGCCATCCTGGCCCAGTGTGGCACAGGGAAAGCTTGCTGGGGATGACAGGTGCCAAAGCGTCCCCGCCCCCGCCAAGAGGTGCTGAGAGCTGGGAGGAATGGGGGTGGGGACGGTGTCTGCAGGGCAGGAGGGGCCGGGTCAGGCCTGGTCCCTGGGGAAGAGGCACTCGGGGGAGACCTGCTGGGACCAGGGTCCAGGTCTGCTGAGCCTCCCACTTGGCTTTTCCCAGGGTAGCTTCGCCCCTCCTGATGCCATGTGCATTGTAGAGTCAGCACCGGTTTCTGACTGGGCTGGAGTTGAAGCTGTAGATCGGCTGGGGGATGTTGGCCTTCTGTCCTGCATTTGCGCCTTACGTCTTTTTGTTTCTCATTCCACTGCCGGGGACGCGGCCAAGACGCCTGCCTTGCTCCGGAGCCGGCACAGGGTGCAGCCTCCCACTGGGCGTGCTGTTAGTTAGCTGCAGGCTTCCTAGATGCCCTTTCTCAGATTAGGTCCAGCCCCTTCCATGCCTGCGAAGAGGGACTGAATTTTGTCAAATACCTTGTCCGCCCCCGCTGGGGATGATGGTGCAGTCTTTCTTCTTGTGATGTGGTGACGTTTCGTATCATCATAGCCTTCTCTAAAGATAGGGGGTTGACTGGAAAAGAGGCCTCAGAGCCGAGGCCCAGGGCTGCAAGGTGTGTGGAGGACGTGCCCAGGTGCCAAATGAACCACTGCTGCAGGGAAGATGCCGCGCATGCCACGTAGTGGCCGTCCTTAGAACCGGGCTTGACGGCAGGGCCAGAACAGCAGGTGTGCCCAGCTGTGGACCAGGCTGCTAGGTCCTGGTCCCTCCGCCCCCCCAACCCCGCCTTACTTCCACCACCATAGGTATCCTGGAGTTCTTCCACCACCAGCTGAAGGACATCGTGGAGTATGCAGAGCTGAAGACGGTGTGCTTCCAGAACCTGCGGGAGGTGGGGAACGCCGTCCTCTTCTGCCTGCTCATCGAGCAGAGCCTGGTGAGTGCCCATCCGGCCTGGCCCACCCCACTGGCCACCAGGGGGGCTTCCTTTGGTGAGTTCTTTAGTGGGGGTGTGGCAGCAGCAGTGTGGTAAAGCATCATTCTTCTTCATGACCATTGAGACTTTAGTTTGAATTTGTTCCCTACAATTGAGAAACAGAAATGTACTGTAGTTCCTTGTCTCAAGAATGTTGTTCTGTGTGAACGTAATAAAACGATTTTATTATGTGATGTTTTCAACATCTAAATGAACACATTAGGCGTGCCAGTGAGGTCTAAAGCAGGGCTGCCTAGGAGGGCTCTCTGCGTGCCCGAGGCCACCGAGCAGTGGAGTGCGGCTCCGTGTGACTGAGGAACTGAGTGCTAAATGTTACTGAATTACAACTGATTTACATCTGCGCAGCTACACGTACCCCATGGCGGACAGCGCAAGGGGCCCCCCGGGAGCCCACCCCCTTAGGGTGTGGCACGGTGGACACCTTGCTTCCTTGACTTCTCCTTGTGGTGCCATCTGGCTGTCCCTGTCCTGCACATCAGAGCAGCTCAGTGTCCGACCTCCTGGACTGGGAAATGGAATCTCACTGGCCCTCTCCTGCCCCCTCGTGACTAGCGAGGTGGGCGTCTCTGTTCACTCATTGCGCTATTTTTCTGTGAAACGCCCTCTTGGGTTCTGGTGCCTGTTTTCTACAGCTCACTCTGTGTAGAGGCTTTATGTGCTGCTCACATTGCAAATTCTTCTCCCATTTGTGCCTTATCCTTTTACTGACAGTGGTGATTTTTGATAAAGTGCTCTTAATTTGAATGTAGCCCTTTTTTTTTTTTTTTAATGATTGGCACTTTCAGTATCTTTATTTTTTAATCTACCATGTTTACACAGAACTTGTAGTATCTTTTTAAAACTGTTTTCCCTGCCTTGGGGTCAGATTTTGAGCTCTGCCTTCTGCATGGAAGTTTATAATCCTTCTGGAGTTGGCCTTTGTTTGTGCTGTGAAATGCGGAGGAAGCGTGCGTCTTTCTCAGTGGGGACCCTGTTGTCCCTCCTCTAGGGGCTGAAGGGCTCCTCCTCCCCTGCCACCTGCCCGCTTTTCATGGGCACACTGCCCTGTCTCCCGGCTTCCTGCCACACCAGCTGGTCCAGGGGTCTGTCTCTGAATCACAGCATGTCGTCTTGTTCATTGTTTCTGACAAGACTGGATTCCCACCTGGGCGTGTTCCCAGCCTGGCTCCTCTTCATCAGCATGTTCCTCCCCAGGGCTCTTTGCTCTGCCATTTTCGGATTGGTTCGCCACACGCCCTGGCGAAGCGTACTGGCTTGTGCATAGGAACTGCACTGCGTCTCCAGAGCTGCCTGGGGAGACCTTTCCTGTGTTGTTTCTCAAAGCAGTCTCTTGTCTTCAGGTCACCGGTAGCTTTGCAAAGGCAGAGTTGTATTTGGGAAGAACAGGGACAGACTGCTGTCTGGGCCTCGGGACTGAGCCTGTGGACCATCTGCCTCACACCTGCCTGTGCGTTGGCTCACATGTCAGGGGAGTTCCAGGTCAGGCCTGACGCATCTGGGAGCCGACCGCCTCCATTGCCCCATATCCTCGCACTCCTAAGCAGACCCCTAAATGGTTTCAAAGAGGGACTGAGGCAGCCTCAGGCCCTCATTGTCCCAGCCACCCACAGGCTTGGTGGGGCCCCCAGGTGAGCGTCCCCTCCCATGCTGCCCTCCCCACTGCGAGTGTGAGCGGCACAACATGGAGAACCCACCTGTGTTCAGGCTAGCAAGAAGCCAGTGTCCAGGGTGGCCCCGCTCTAAAGACATATTCCCCAAATAATTGTGAATTTTTAAAAGCCAGAGATGTTAGGAAGCATCCATTTAAATGTAATCTCTCGCTATGAATTTTAAATATTTAATGTAGGAATATTCCCTTCATGGGCAGCGTTTCCTGAGGCCTCTCCTGCCTTCCCTCCTAACTAGCGAGCTGGGCGTACAGCAGGTGTACCCCGTCTCATCTGCTTAGTCCGTCTTGCGTTGCCGCAGCCGTGCCTGAGACTGAGTAATTTATAAAGAAAAGGAGTTTATTTGACTCATGACTCTGGAGGCTGGGAAGTCCAAGATCAGACAGCTCATCTGTCAGGGCCTCATGCTGCTTCAGCTGCTGGGAAGGCAGAAAGGGATGTGGGGGTATGCAAAGCCAACAAATGTGAAAGGCAGCCTTGTTTCCAACAAGCTGCTCTCACAGGAACTCACCCATTCCGGCAAGAACTAATCCAGCAGTGGGAGAATGAACCCAGTCTTGTAAGAAATCTGTCATTTCTCAGACCGACCACCTTCCAACACTGCTACATTGGCAATTAAGTCTCACCATGAATTCTGGCAGGAACAGACAACATCCAAACCACAGCCTCTGTGGATGTCCAAGCCTGAGGATGGCTGTCTGGTCACTGGCCTCAGGTTGGCCAGGTGAGACCCAGGCTTTCCTAAAGGAGAGACAGCATGTGGCACTGATTCAGATAGTGGCAAGGACCCATTACAGCTGGTTTCTCTTTTGTCCAGCTGTCCTTTCTGGAAATAAGATAAACTCACAAGTTTCTTTACCTACAAAATGAATGTCAGGGAGTCCTGGGATGGACATTAAATAATTACAGAACCACACGTTTGGAGCAGGCAGGACGGAATTCACTGGGACAGTCTCTTAGCTCAGACAGTTCCTGAGCGTTGTCACGGCAGCAGCTGGCCCTCTGTTGGCTTCTGGATGGAGTCTGATGCTGTATTAGCAGCTTAGGGAAAGACGCGGAGCAGACGGCGTCTGGCCGGCTGCTGGCACTGGATTGACATTGATGAGTATGGAAAAGTCTGCTTTTCTTCCTCTTGGTTTTAGTTTTGCCGTCATCTCTGGGAGGTCCTCAGAAGTTAGAATCTCATGTCAGCATTTCTTCCATTTTCTAATAGCTGTTTCTTTGTTTACTTCTTTCTTTTACTCCTGTGGAACATCAAGATTTCAGCATGGCTGTAGCGTAGGAGGCACTGAAGGCCCCATCATCTTCTGCCTGCTCTGTGGGGTGTTTGTGCGCACTGTAGTGGCCTGAGAGCCCTCTCCTCTAAAGATGAACAGCAGTTGAACTATTTCTTAGCGTCTTTGGGTCCGTGGTCGATTTTTGGGGTTCTGCCATCCCCGTGATCCTGGAGGTGCATTTTCTCTACATACGCATTACCCTGGAGAATGGGCCTCACGTGGGGTTTTTATTACCTCGTAAAGGAGTTTGTGACCCATTAGTAGGTTCAGCATGATGACCCACAACTTTATTTTGAGCTCTGTGGAGAATGAGTGGGCGTGGACACCGGGGTGGGCCTCCCTGTTCCTCCCACCTCCCTCGTTTGCAGATGCCCTTGCCTTCTGTCAGTGCCGTGGGGTCTCATCATACCCTGTGTTTCTTAAGAGCCTGGTGGCAAATTTAGCAGGGAAGGATGGGGAGAGAGCTGCCAAACTGGTAAAGCCTGGAAAACAGAGCCACATTCAACACTGGGTCTTACCTGTGTCTATATTTAAATTAATTAAAGGTAACTAAAATTAAAAATTCAGTTCCTCAAGTGCACAAGCCACAGTCCAAGTACTTACTAGCCGTACATGGCCTGGTGGCTGCCACTGTGGAAGGACAGACAGAAGCATTTCCATTATCACAAAGAAGAGTTTATTCATGTAAAAGGCAAAGAGGCTCTTTGTTTTCAGCACCAGCTCGCTCTCTGTCTGTCTCCCTAATGTGCCCTTCTCTTTCTCTGCTCTAGTCTTTAGAAGAAGTCTGTGACCTCCTGCATGCGGCTCCCTTCCAGAATATCTTGCCGCGAGTCCATGTGAAAGGTGAGCCTGCGGACTCCCCCTCCCCGTCCCCCGGCTGTCCAGACTGCCATCTGTGGGAGTGGTACCTATTCTGTGCAGCCGGAGAACTAAGGGCCAGTGCAGAGTGAGAGTTTGGTGCCTGTTTAATCATATGCAGGGGTAATGAGGAGTGTACAGAACCTAGTTACGTGAAGTCTGAGAAATAGGGCTGCAATGATCCGACGTCTTAATACTTGGAATTGCTTCCAAGTATTAATCGCAGGGGGAGATGGGTATATAGGAAGCAAAGAGTGGCCATGAGTTGATAATTGCTGTGGTGGATCATGGGGGCTCACTGTGCCATTTTCTGCCTTTGATTACATTTGAAATAGTAAGTGAAAGATGAATATTGAGCAGATAATCAGTCCTGCCAGTTTGAAATAAAATGTTAACTGAGCCAAATTCGTAAGATAATTTTTAAAGAAAATGTGTATACATAATGTTAACTTTAAAATCTTTTGTTTTTTAAACAAATTTAAACTTTTGCAATTATCCTTTCATACAAAGGAGCAGAATATAGTAAAATATTTTTTCCACTGCAGAGGGGGAGAGACTTGATGCCAAAATGAAGAGACTAGAGTCAAAGTACGCCCCGCTGCATCTTGTCCCACTGATCGAAAGACTGGGGACCCCTCAGGTAATGTGTGCTGTGGCGGCTGTGGCTGTTGCCAGCTGGGCATCCACGTCAGGCCAGGCAGCCCGGTTGGGAGCCAGAATGAAAGGCATCGTGAAATCCAGTGTCACAAGTTGGGTGTGCACTCGGACTGCCTCCCAGGGTGGTCGGGGACTTAAAGTGAGCTAACGCTGGGAAAGGGCTTAGCACATCACCTGGCACGTAAGACTCTTATAGATGTCACTTGTTAGTGTCCAGCCCGTCATGAAGAAGGCTTTTCCACAGGTGTTTAAGAACGGAAGAAATGAGGCCAGGAGGCAAGGTGTCAGGGCAGAGCTCCACAGTGAGCCAGCAGCTTATGCTAAGTAAGGGTTTCTCAGCCATTTGGGACCAGGTAACTCTTTTATGGTGGGGGCTGGGTTGTCCTGTGCATGGTAGATGTTTAGCAGCATCCCTGGCCTCCACATTAGATGCCAGCAAACCTACCCCACCCAAAACATGCTTCCAGGGCCAGGAGCCATGGTTCATTCCTGTCATCCCAGCACTTTGGGAGGCCAAGACAGGAGTTCGAGACCAGTCTGGACAACATGGCAAAACCCTGTCTCTACAAAAAATATAAATATTATTCAGGTGTGGCGGCATGCATCTGTCCTCTCAGTCCCTGGGAGGGCTGAGGCAGGAGGGTCGCTTGAGCCTGGGACGTCAAGGCTGCAGTGAGGTATGATTATGCCACTGCACCCCAGCCTGACCAGCAGAGTGAAATCCTGTCTCCAAAAAAACATACAGGACGTGGAGTAGCTGAATGCCTGCAGGGCCCACAGCATTACGCTTGTTCCTCCTGCAGCAAATTGCCATCGCAAGAGAGGGGGACCTGCTGACCAAGGAGCGCCTGTGCTGCGGCCTGTCCATGTTTGAGGTCATCCTGACGCGGATCCGGAGCTTTCTGGACGACCCGATCTGGCGCGGGCCTCTGCCCAGCAATGGGGTCATGCATGTGGATGAGTGTGTGGAGTTCCACAGGCTGTGGAGTGCCATGCAGTTTGTGTACTGCATTCCCGTAGGGACACACGAGTTCACAGTCGAGTAAGTGTGTGCTCAGAGCAGGATGGAGCCGACAGCAGGGCAGGGTGTTAGGCCAGCCGTGCTCCTGGGGAAGTGACCAGAAGGTCACTGTTCAGCCTTCTCAGCGGGGATTCTTCCTTGATGCTGAAGAGTTGACTCAGGACTCTAGTATTCTGGGAGTCTCTGAACCACAGCAATTGTATACGAGTTGGACGTGCATTTTTCTAGGTGGGAGGTCTGTAAGTCATTCACCACAGAGGGGATATGACTTAAAAAGCATTAGGAAGTAGCACACCAGAAGAGCCCAAAAAAGGTATTTACCAAAATGAGGCAACAGCCAGCTGCCGCGTGGCACAGACAGTAGTGCAGATGGCTTGCTCACTGCCATCTGGAGACAGAGAAGACTTGGTAACATGTCACTCACCTCCCATTGTGTTTCTGCTTGTTTCTAGGCAGTGCTTTGGTGATGGGCTACACTGGGCTGGCTGTATGATCATCGTACTTCTTGGGCAGCAGCGGCGTTTTGCTGTGCTGGATTTCTGCTACCATCTACTTAAAGTCCAGAAACATGATGGCAAAGACGAGATTATTAAAAATGTGGTATGTGGATGAAAATCTCCTGCTATCTATGTTACAAGTTCTTGTTTCGGTGAATGTTTTTTGACCTAGTACCTAAGGTACCACCAACAGAAACGTTCTTTTCATTCCCAAAATGAATCTAGATATAATTGGCCAGTAAAGCATATTCTGGCAGAGAAAATCCTCACTGTTCCATTTGCCTTCTCAAGGTACTTAAGATTTACTTCAAGTGTTACAGGATCTGCATTTACAGAACTTTGGCAACTATTCCAGTCTTCAGGCTCTCTAGAATTCAAAAGTGTGCTTTTTGGCTGCTTTAAAGGCCTTTTGTCTTTGTCATTTTATGGATTCCTCATAGTTGAATTCTGGAAAATACTCAGCCATTATCTTTTGAAATATTTTAGCTTCCCTTCCATTCTCCCTATTCTTGCCATTCAGGACTTCAGTTAGACATGTATTAGACCTTCTCATTCTATTCTTCACATCCCTCTGTTGAATTAGTTGTTTTGTTTTGTTTTAGACAAGAGTTTTGCTCTTGTTGCCCAGGCTGGAGTGCAGTGGCCCAATCTCGGCTCACTGCAACCTCCGCCTCCCGGGTTCAAGTCATTCTCCTGCCTCAGCCTCCCATGTAGCTGGGATTACAGGTGCCCGTCACCACGCCTGGCTAATTTCTGCATTTTTAGTAGAGATGGGGTTTCACCATGTTGGCCAGGCTGATCTCGAACCCCTGACCTGAGGTGATCCACCCACCTTGGCCTCCCAAAATGCTAGGATTACAGGTGTGATCCACCGCACCCAGCCCTGTTGAATTAGTTTTCTGTTGCTTCCATAACATCAGTTGCCACAGGCTTGGCAGTTTAAACACCACTGATGATCTCACAGATCTCTAAGTCAGATGCCGGGGTACAGCCGGGCTCAGCTAGGTCGTCTACTTGGTCTCATGAAGCCAAAATCAATGTGTCCAAGGTGTCTTGTTCACCCTGGAGGACTTCAGGCTTAGGCACAGCTTGCAGCTGTAGGACTGGGTCACCCTTCCTTCTCATGCTTTCCAGGTGGCTCCCTCCAGCAACAGTAGATGGGGCAGCCTTAGCTTCTAGTCTTCTGCTGCTAGCCAGAGAACATTCCTGATATGATGATACTGAGAGGACAACCCAGATACTCTCCCTGTCTAACAGTCCAGGTTTAACCACACCCACCCAGGCTCTGTGCAGCAGAGGGCGGCGCAGTCACAGGCTCCGGGTCATGGGCCTCTCCCACACCATTTCCATGGCTCCCAGAGCTGTATCCAGAGTACTGTCTTCACGTGTCTTAGTTAACTCTCCTCAGCTCTTCAAATCTTGGTGGTAACTGACAGTTTTATTGTCTTAAATGAATTTTTTCCTTCTCTTCTTTATCCAGTTCATGTATTCTATATTCTGTTATCTTTTCATTCTAATATCTGAAGGCCTTGGCGGTGTTTTAAAACTGCCCTTTCCTTGTGTGTTGGGTTACTGGGGGGTCTTTATCTAATTGGACTTAATTTAGATTGCTTTCGTCCGGAGACGCGCACTTGCAGCTGCCCATCCACTCTGGGCACTGGCTGCCCCCTTACCACCTGCCATGGGCAGAACCAGCAGTGCTTTTCAAAGCTTTTGGTTTGCGTGGATGTTCTTTATTCACATTCTCTATTGCTGTTGTAGCAGGAGGCTCTGTCAAAGTATCCTATCAGTATTTCCACACTGGAAGTCTAAACTTGTGTTAGTTGATGGGCCTTTGTCCACTGACAACATCATCTTCATCTGTAGATCCCCAGCTTTGTGCAGACAGTAGATTCTTAATTGCTGATGTGGAAGGAATAAGCCTGTAAGTTGTGCATATGAATGAATCTACAGCAGCAGGAAACCAACAGAGGAATTCTAAATTCAAAATATATTCATTGTTCCAACTGCTGCATTAAAGAGATGGGATGTGGCTGGGAGTGGTGGCTCCTAAGTACAGTCCCAACAGTTTGGGAGGCTCAGGAGGAGGAGGATTGCTTGAGGTCAGGAGGAGTTCAAGACCATCCTGGGCAACAGACCTCGTCTCTACAAAAAATTTTTTAATTAGCTGCATGTGGTGGTACATGCCTGTGATCCCAGCTACTCAGGAGATCTAAGTAAGTCCAGGAGGGTGAGGCTACAGTGGGCGCTGATCATGCCACTGCATGCCAACTGAGGCATCAGAGTGACACCCTATCTATCTATCTTAAAAAAAAAAGCAAGTATGTGTGTCAATTCCGTTTGCTATTATTTTTCTGAGAAAAGAATCCTAACATTGTGAAACATGAAGAATAAATAAATGTTCAGGTGTTAATAGTAAAACATCCTAATATTCATGGTTGTAGCCTTTGAAGAAGATGGTGGAGCGAATTCGCAAGTTCCAGATTCTCAATGACGAGATCATCACCATCCTGGATAAGTACCTGAAGTCAGGCGACGGGGAGAGCACACCAGTGGAGCACGTGCGCTGCTTCCAGCCGCCCATCCACCAGTCCTTGGCCAGCAGCTGAGGGCGCGGGCTGCACTCCGTAACTCAGCGTGGCATGCTTCTCTGTCGGTATTTAGTGAGATTTTTAGGGACTATTTTTCAGTATCTCTGTGCCTGTCAAAGGGGGTGCTTTTCATCTAAAAGCTTAATTTTATAAAACTGACTTATTTTTCTAGTCTAAAATTGTATATGCTTTTGTTAATTAGGAACTCGGAGCATGCTGGCTGTTGATTGTTGCCATCACATTCTTACAAAATTACTGTTTTTCTATGGGATGTTCTGGCAGCCAGCTATGGTTCATTCCGTAAGAAACTTAATACCAGCAAATGTATTAAATCCCTTACTAGTTCCCATTAAATGTACCTACTTAGCTTTTGTGTAAGGATCCTTCTCACAGCCTTTTATGAACAATCTTAGTTCTAAGTCATTGTTTCCATCCCTTTTTTGTATCAGTGTTTCAGAAAATAGTGAACTTGATTCCCCTGCTTCCACTAAATCCAGTTGTGACAAAATCTAACATGAGATCAGACCAAAAGGATATAGAAATAAAACTAATGAGGTCTATCTGTGTTCGTTCATTCACTACAGCTCTGTGCTGCTTGGCTTGGCAAGGAACTCATTATGATCTGAGCTCGCACAACAGGCCCGGCTCAGACCTACAGCTTTATATTTAGGATTCCGCAGGCAAATGAGGTATAAAACGGCCCCGTGGGCTGTTCCAATCTGGACATGAAGAGGCTACTCAGTGCCTGTTACCTGTGCCCACGAGCTGGAGGAGGCCTGCACTGTTGGAGGAGATGAGCCGGGGACAGTGGGTGCTCCAGAAAGGGGCCGGGGGGCACTTCAGTCCAGCCTTCATCTGTCCCCCTCTTTACACAGGGCTCACGTGACTGAAGCTGGTCCACGTGACCTGTCAGAATAAAAGGTAATCAGTCTAGACTACCCGTAGCATCATCAACATGTTTTAGAATTGAGAAACTAAAGCCAAACTTTAAAGTATTAAGGCAATGAGGTTCTAAAAAAGCCTAACTGGGAAAAAAAAATGCTACGCCTGTCTACTGTAAACAAATACTACAGAGAAACACGAGGCCAGCGTGACTAACTGAACTCACTTTATGGCGTAACCTGGCAGTCGTTCTATATTATTTGGAGTATTGCAACTTTCCTCAGTTCTAACATTTTCTATGGATGCCACGTTGCCATAAAAAGTGGGCCTCACCTACTTGACTTTTCCATAGGCCTTTGGAAACTCAGAAGCATCACACACGGCACAGAAAAGAAAGGGAACCATCCTGCTGTACTGCCAAACCTGAGTGACAAGAAGCTTAACACAACTCTCTTTCCTTATAAAAAGTTCCCTAAAAATGCTTTTGGTAATGTAAATAACCCTGGAGCCAGCATTCTGCTGCAGATTTAGAGGTGCTAGCTGTGCTTATCTTAGAAAGTATACAGTAAGATGAAAACAAAACCCATCTCACGTGCAAAGACACACAAAGGCTCAAAATAAAGGGACGGAGGAACACTTACCAAGCAATTGGAGAGCAAATAAAAGCAGGGTTGCAATCCTAGTCTCCGATAAAACAGACTTTAATCCAACAAAGATCAAGAGACAAAGAAGGGCATTACATAATGATAAGAGGATCAATGCAACAGTAAGAGTTAACTATCCTAAATATGTACCCAATACAGGAGCACACAGACACATAAAGCAAGTTCTTACAAAGAGACTTAGACTCTGGCACAATAACTGTGGGAGACTTTAACACTCCACTGTCAATATTAGATCAATGAGACAGAAAATTAACAAGGATATCCAGGACTTGAACTCAGATCTGGACCAAGCAGACCTAATGGCCATCTAGAGAACTCTCCACCCCAAAACCACAGAATATACAGTCTTCTCAGCACATGGCACTTACTCTAAAACTGACTACATAAGTGGCAGTAAATCACTCCTCAGCAAATCCGAAAGAACAGAAATCATAACAGTCTCTCAGACCACGGTGTAACCAAATTAGAACTCAGAATTAAGAAACTCACTCAAAACCACATTACTACATGGAAACTGAACAACCTGCTCCTCAATGACTACTGAATAAATAATGAAGGCAGAAATAAAGATGTTCTTCGAAACCAATGAGAACGAAGACACAACATACCAGACTCTCTGGGACGCATTTAAAGCAGTGTCTAGAGGGAAATGTGTAGCACTAAATGCCACCGGAGAAGCAAGGTAAGATAAAAAAATCAACGTCACAATTAAAAGCACTAGAGGAGGCTGCAGTGGCTCATGCCTGTAATCGCACCACTTTGGGAGGCTGCGGCGGACGGATCACCAGGTCAGGAGTGGAGACCAGTGTGGCCAACATGGTAAAATGCTGTCTCTACTAAAAATGCAAAAAAAAGTTGGCTAGGCATAGTGGCACGTGCCTGTAATCCCAGCTACTTGGGAGACTGCGGCAGGAGAACTGCTTGAACCCGGGAGGCGGAGGTTGCAGTGAGTCAAGATTGTGCCACTGCACTCCAGCCTGGGTGACAGCAAGACTCCATCTCGGCGGGGGGGGGGGGGGGGGGGGGGGGGGGGGGGGGGGGGGGGGGGGGGGGGGGGGGGGGGGGGGGGGGGAAGAACTAGAGGAGCAAGATCCAACACAGTCAAAAGCTAACAGAAGGCAAGAAATAACTAAGATCAAAGCAGAATTAAAGGAGATACAGACACACAAAAAAAACCTTCAACAAATCAGTAATTCCAGGAGCTGGTTTTTTGAAAAGATCAACAAAATAGACCACTAGCCACACTAATAAAGAGAGAGAAGATTCAACTAGATGCAATAAAACGATGATAAAGGGGATATCACCACCGATTCCACAAAAATACAAACTACCATCAGAGAGTACTACCAACACCACTATGCAAATAAGCCAGTAAATCTAGAAGAAATGGGTAAATTCCTGGAGACGTATGCACTCCCAAACTAAACAAGGAAGAAGTTGAATTCGTGAATAGACCAATAACAAGGTTTGAAGTTGAGGCAGCAATTAATAGAGCAGACAGGTTCACAGCCAAATTCTACCAGAGGTACAAAGAGGAGCTGGTACCAAACAATACAAAAAGGGGGAATCCTCCCTAACTCATTTTATGAGACCAGCATCATCCTGACACCAAAACCTGGCAGAGACACAACTGAAAAAGAAAATTTCAGGCCAATATCCATGATGAACATTGATACAAAAAATCTTTAATAAAATACTAGGCAAAACGAATCCAACAGCACATCAAAAAGCTTATCCATCACGACCAAGTCGGCTTCATCCCGGGGATGAAGGCCGGTTCAACATAGGCAAATCTATTAACGTAATCCATCACATCAACAAAACCAAAGAAAAAAACCATGATTGTCTCAACAGATGCAGAGAAGGTCTGTGACAAAATTCAACAGCCCTTTATGCTAAAAACTCTCAATAAACTAGGTATCGATGGATCATATCTCAAAATAATAAGAGCTATTTATGACAAACCCACAGCCAGTATCATACTGAATGGGCAAAAACTGGAAGCATTCCCTTTGAAACTGGCACAAGACAAGAATGCCCTCTCTCACCACTCCTATTCAACACAGTATTGGAAGTTCTGGCTAGGGCCATTAGGCAAGAGAATGAAATAAAGAGTATTCGAATAGGAAGAGAAGACATCAAATGTACCTGTTTGTAGATGAATTGACTGTATATTTAGAAGACCCCATCGTCTCAGCCCAGAATCTCCTTAAGCTGATAAGCTACTTCAGCAAAGTCTCCGGATACAAAATCGATGTGCAAAAATCACAAGCCTTCCTATATACCAATAACAGACTAACAGAGCCAAATCATGAACTCCCATTCACAATTGCTACAAAGAGAATAAAACACCTAGGAATACAAGTAACAAGGGATGTGAAGGACCTCTTCAAGGAGAACTACAAACCACTGCTCAAGGAAATAAGAGGGCACAAACAGACGGATAAATTACTTTAAACTGCCAAGTTTTGGCCCAGTGCAGTAGCTCACACCTATAATTGATCCATCCCAACACTCTGGGAGACGGAGGCGGGCAGATCACGAGGTCAAGAGATCAAGGCCATCCTGGCCACCACAGGGAAACCCCGTCTCTAGTAAAAAAAATATAAAATTAGCTGGGCGAGTAGTCCCAGCTACTTGGGAGGCTGAGGCAGGAGACTCACTTGAACCCAGGAGGCAGAGCTTGCGGGGAGCCAAGATTATGCCACTGTACTCCAGCCTGGCGACAGAGCAAGACTCTTCTGTCTCAAAAAAAAAAAAAAAAAATTACCAAGTTTTATAAGGCTTAATTACATACCAAATATATAATGTAATATTTAGGTATAAGACAATCTCAAGTGCTATAAAATGTTAGCTAAGAATTTTTTATTAGAAAAAGCTTTTTTTTATTAACCTATGTATGTTCAACAAGGCCTCTATCCTCAAGGGGGTGAAAACTGGTTCTTTTATATACAAAGCACAGATGTAGGTACAGTATATAAACAGATATAGAGTACATCTGTAGTATTAAATGACACGGAAAGAGGCAGTTAGGAAAAACATCTAAAACAGCTCCTTAGAAGGCCAATGCTAAACTCAGAAAAAAGGGACTTTCCATGCAGCCAATGGTGGCTGCACGGGATGCCAGCATCGTCGGCGTGCGAGACTCTCGGGGACTGATGGTTTGGCACTGACGCACCTTTGGGTAACCTCCAGGCAGGAGCCACGGACTGGAACAGATGAACGTTCTCTTCCCATCACCAGGTGGAAATTAACTCTGCCAATACTAAAGGCCAGTCAGTGGTTATGAGTGGACAGGTTCAACAGCTGCATGGGGTTCATTAGACCTTTTTTATTATTCTACCTTTTCTGCATGTGTTTGCAATTTTCCATCAACTTCTTCATAAACATTTTCTAGAAACCAAAATATATAGTGGCCCAAAGGAGCTCTTAAGCAAAGTACTTGGTACAAACAGACCATATTTTATAAACATTTTAAGTCTGTTCTAAACATTCAGACTTAGAAAAGAACTTCTTTTCAACTTTTTATTGTAACATGAGCTAAATATAAGAGATAACCCTAGTCTTCTATTTCTGAGAGCTGTTCCAAGTCTAAATGACAGTATAACTCATTATGAAAATATACTAAAAAGTACAAGAGCTGATGTAAAACGGTAATCATCAAGGTTCCAGGCAGCATGGGATTCGGGCAACTGAAGAATAAACCCGGCCAGGTTGCAACAACAGGCAGGAGGCGCTGGTCTGATGAGGTGCTAAGGCGGCCATCGAATGCACACAGGAAGCCGGATTCACGGTGAGAGATCACAACCTGAGAAATAGTTCCTTGTGGTGATTTCCGCCCTTTTTTTTGTCTTGTAAGAATTTCCTTCATTCACTAACTTAGTTTTCCCTTAATATTTCAAAAATAAAACCAATCATCAAACAGGAGCCACTTTTATAGGTAAGGTAAATCATAGGATAATGTATTGGGATAACTGTGTTCTTTTTTAAAATAAAAAAGCTTGATGGAATGGGGATGACAAATGCACATTTCAGACTTTCATCACCAATGGAAAAATAAAACATTTTTATAGACTTAAAACTGTCATTAGTGCATTCAGATTTTGGAGAAGGGATGAAAATGTAAAATACTTCTACAACAATATGATGTTAATAGAAATCGTCATGTGCTGAGGTCATTTTAGTGAGCTACCATTGTTTAAATAGAAGAAAAAAGTAATTTCGTGATCCAAATGAGTGAAGTTTTTAAAAAGATTGCCTTTAAAGAACAATATTTGAGGACAATGCTTTTTCAGACACATTCTGATATTCAAATTCACTTCATAATCACATATTAACCTTTAATTACATTTTTCTTAAAAAGCTGTCAGATTTCCATTTCTTCGGGAGATACTGTCACCAGTGTGTTGTTCGATTCCACAGGTTAAGCTTTCTTCATTATTATTAAGAACTTCGTACATATTAGAGAGATTGCCATTCACTGCTTTCTCGTCTTTTCGAAAAGACACAGGCAGACTTGCTAGACTAAAGCTGACGTCTTTAAAGGCATGCAACAGGAATATCCCCACAATGATTGTAAAGAAGCCACTCAAAGTACCAATGACATCATCAACAGGCATATCCTGCCACTCCTTAAAAAGAATAGCTGAACAAGTTAAAACAGATGTTGTAAAGAATACATAATAGATTGGAGTCACGATAGAAGTGTTGAATATATCCAGGGCCCGATTTAGGTAATTAATCTGTGTGCTCACACAGACGAGGAGGCTCAGCAGCAGCACCCAGGCCAGGGGGTGCCGCAGAACAGGCTTTCCGGCAAACAGCTCCTTGATGGCGATGCCCAGGCCCTTCACACAGGAGACGGAAAGCGCGCCGATCACAGAGCAGACTGTGATGTACACAAGGATGTTTGTCTGTCCGTGGCGAGGGCCCACCACAAAGATTAGTATCAAGGCCACAATGACCACAAGGGTTGCAAAGACCACAAAACCTGAAGGAGGCAAAGAAAAGTTACATGAGTCAAATGGTTAGCTGCTCTCTCTCTCTCTCTTTTTTTTTTTTTAAGACAGTCTTGCTCTGTCACCAGGCTTCAGTGCGGTGGCACCATCTCGGCTCACTGCAACCTCCACCCCCCAGGTTCAAGCAATTCTCCCGTCTCAGCCTCCCAAGAAGCTGGGACCACAGGTGTGTGCCACCACGTCCAGCTAATTTTTGTATTTTTAGTAGAGACGGGGTTTCACCATGTTGGCCATGATGGTCTCGATCTCTTGACCTCGTGATCCACCTGCCTCAACCTCCCAAAGTGTTGGGATTACATGCGTGAGCCACCGCACCCAGCTGGTTGGCTGCTCTTAAACACAGTATCCACAACAAAATATAAGAAACTCAATAGGGAGAAAAGGTATGACCTGGAAGTAAAAATCAGCTTCATTTTGCTGCCCTAGCAGACTCACAACCACAAAAATTTACTTAGATGTACACACTGAAGATTAATGTGTGCTTCAGAGTCACAAATTGTCACACGCTTAACATTTCTGAAGCAGCATTTTATGCCTACTGAAGTGTTCTAATTCACAAGGCAACAGGGACAATGGGATCAGAACAGAGGCCAAAATGGGGGAGGAGAAACCACGAGGTGGCCTTGAATGCCCAACAATTTATAGATGCGGCTAGGCACGGCGGCTCACACCTGTAATTCCAATGCCTTGGGAGGCTGAAGCAGATGGACCACCTGAGGTCAAGAGTTTGAGACTAGCCTGACCAACATGGAGAAAGCCCGTCTCTGCTAAAAATACAAAATTAGCCCGGCATGGTGGTGGGCACCTGTAATGCCAGCTACTCGGGAGGCTGAGGCAGGAGAATCGCTTGAAGACGGGAGGCAGAGGTTGTGGTGAGCCAAGAATGCGCCATTGCACTCCAGCCTGGGCAACAAGAGCAAAACTCCATCTTAAAAAGAAAAGAGTTATTCATCAGGTTTTCCCTAAAAGGGGTAAACTTTTTTTAAAATTTGCAGACAGCTGCTGGAGTAACCAGCAAGTCAACTGGATAACTTGAAAGATACCGTTGGGGTTCTGGCTGATACGGAGAATTGAAGCCAGCATGGTAACAGCCAGTAACTGTGTAGCACTGTGGGCCAGGCATTTTTCTCAGCAATTTGCACTCAACTACCCTGTGTCAGATACTACCAACATCTTCAGATGAGAAAACTGAGGCACAGAAGTCATAGGAATTTACTCGTCCTTCCTCAAACTCCACTAACACACGGTAACAGGATTTTTAAAGACACAAATATACAAAATTAAAAACAGACACCAGGTGCAGTGGCTCAAACCTTTAATCCCAGCATTTTGGGAGGCCAAGAAGGGCAGATCACTTGAGGTCAGGGGTCTGAGACCAACCTGGCCAACATGGCGAAACCCCGTTTCTACTAAAAATACAAAAATCAGCCAGGCACAGTAGCAGACGCCTGTAATCCCAGCTACTTGCGGGGCTGAAGCAGGGGAATCGCTTGAACCTGGGAGGCAGAGGTTGCAGTGAGCCAAGATCGTGCCACTGCACTCTAGCCTGGGAGAGAGAGTGAGACTTGTCTCAAAAAAAAAAAAAAAAAAAGAGGACCGAAGATAATAATACTTTATAAGTCAAAAGCAAAGGCTAATAACTGATACACAGATCCAAGAAATCTGAATGCTACACATCAGCTGTGATCAAACATTAAAAAGCAATTCAGTTTACAGCACAGAATGCTCAAAAGGTACAGTGTCTCTGAAGTGGGGTAAAGGCAAGATTGAAAGTGAAGCCTGGCTGAAGGAGTCTCCTGTCCAGTGCAGTGGAGAGAAGCCAAAACAAACGGAAAAGCACAAAGCCCCTGTTTCTCCCACGTAGATGAAGAAAGCTTCAAAATAAACAACCGTCCCTCTAAAAACAAAAAAACTAATATCCTCAGAGAAACAAGAAAAACTATTATTAAGATCCTCAGAGAAATGATGAAACAGCCGAACCTGGCCCTCAAATACCAACAATGGATCCACATCAACAAAAAAACCCCAAACAAACAAAAAGAACGTTCATTCGAGGGCATCAAACAGCAATCAAAGTAGCCAGGACTTAAGGGGCCAAAATTCAGAGAAAAGAGAAAAATCAGACCAACACGTACCTCTGCCTTCTCCCCTGGGGCAACTGCTAAAGCAAGGGGTGAGACGGCATGAAGCTCCATCAACACCGGCCTACGCCTGAGTGGACTCGGTAAAAACAAGCTGGAATCTGGGGCTGCCTAAGCAGCTGGGACTTACTGGACCAAGACCCAGAAAGGAAGAGTAGTGAACCCAAATTTCTGTGTGCATTTCCCCTTATGGTGTTTCCTGCCACACAGGCCGCACAGCCAAGGTCAGAGGAGCCAAATGGAAAGCCTGGCCAGGAGGCCACAGGGCAAAGCAGGGATTTGAGCAACTCAAGTCACTGAGGAACAGGCCCTGGAGCTCTCGGTTTCTTAGGTGGCGGGGCCCAAACCAACATCCGAAGCTATCAGTTGAGAGCCACAGGGTTATGAACAAGAATAAAGGCAAACTGGGCCAGGTGTGGTGGCTCATGCCTGTAATCCCAGCACTTTGGGAGGCCGAGGCAGGAGGATCACTTGAGCCCAGGAGCTCAAGACCAGCCTGGCCAAAATGACAAAACCTTGTCTCTACCGAAAAAAAATACAAAAATTGGGCCAGGCACAGTGATGCACACCTCTAATTGCAACTATTTGGGAGGGTGAAGCGGGAGAATCACTTTAATCCAGGAGGCAGAGGCTGCAATGAGCCAAGATCACACCACTGTGCTCCAGCCTGGGTGACAGAGTGAGACTCCATTTCAAAAACAAGCAAACAAAAAAAGATACAAAAATTAGCCAGATGTGGTACCCCACATCTGTGTAGTCCCAGCTACTCAGAAGGCTGAGGTGACATGATCACTTGAGCCCAAGAGGCGGAGGTTACAGCGAGCCATGATCGCACCACTGCACTCCAGCCTAGGTGACTGAGTGAGATCCTGTCTCAAAATAAAATAAAATAAAATAAAATAAAATAAAATAAAATAAAATAAAATAAAATAAAATGACATTTTGGGCTGGATGTAATAAATTTTAAAAAAAGAAGAAGAAGAAAGGCCAACTAGAAAGAAACCAGGCTCAACAAAGCTTAAAACAACACCTTCAGAGTGAAGGTGATCTGCAGTATTCTCTTCTGCCTACCAGAAGAAATTTATATTCTCTCTGAAGGAAGAAAAACATCACTTAAAACCTTTACACCTTCTAATATCCTATGTCCAGCATTCAATTAAAAAAAAGCCAACGCCCGGTGCAGTGGCTCACACTTGGAATCCCAGCATTTTGTGAGGCCAAGGTGGGCGGATCATTTGAGGTCAGAAGTTCGAGAACAGCCTGACCAACATGGAGAAACCCTGTCTCTACCAAAAAATAGAAAATCAGCCAGGCGTGGCGGTGCGCGCCTGTAATCCCAGCTACTCGGGAGGCTGAGGCAGGAGAACTGCTTGAACCCAGTAGGCAGAGGTTGCAGTGAGCAAAGATCACACCATTGCACTCCAGCCTGGGCAAGTAAGAGTGAGACTCCATCTCAAAAAAGAAAACAAATAAGCAAAAAAGACAAAAGACAAAACCAAATGCCTAAAAACAGAAGAGAAACACCACCCAGAGTCGGACCCACAAAGAATTCAGAAACTAACATTAGCAGACAAAGATTTTAAAGTAACTAGGAATCAAGAGAACAGGATCCATAAACTCTTAGAAATTTACAATATAACCACAGAAATAAAAACTCAGAAGGGCTGGGGAAAAAAAACTGAGAAAATCTCCCCAAAGGCAGAGCAAAAAGACAAAATGGTAAAATGGGGGGAAAAAAACTAATGATCTAGGTTAGGGTTAGGGTTCTAGGTCAAGAACTTCAATAAAGGCCGGGCGCAGTGGCTCACGCCTGTAATCCCAGCACTTTGGGAGGCCGAGGCGGGTGGATCACGAGGTCAAGAGATCGAGACCATCCTGGTCAACATGGTGA